TTCTCAGGCCTTCCTTCCCATTTTCCTGCTGTTACAGACATCCCTCGGCTCCCAGGAGCAGCTCTGTAACCAAGTGTAAATTCCTTTTTCTATCCTTCCCAAGAGATGCTACTTTTATTTATCTTTTTTCCTGTTTCTGATTAATTAAACCTACCTAATTTTCTCATTGCTGCTGACTGCTCAGCTCAGAAGGAGGAAGCTTGGCGTGTTGGGCAGCAGCAGGGAGCTGGACCCCGGCTTTCACCCATGTGAATACCCTGTTAGTACATGCGGGTCCAAGAGAAACAGCACTGAAGGAATGAATAGTGATGAGACTGTTCTTTTACTGGACTTTCTGGAAATGCCCATGTCCCCCGTGTAGAATTAGCACAGCCAGCAGCAGGAGGCATTAAGCCAGGAGGACTCACCAAACATCTCAGAGCTCTGAGCACACAAATCTCCTTGGCATGGGCTCTTACCCTCTGAATTTCTGCCCAATGGGAGATAGGAAACACTCCAGTGCTGCTGCCCAGGGTCCTCTCTGAACAAGGAAAATACAGCTTGTAGGAGAGGAGGACTTGACGCCTCTACTGTGTTGAGGCCAATGCCTCTGATGGTGGCACCTGATGTCCCAGAGGAAAATGGAGAATACAGAAAGCAAGCCCTGGTTGAGTGCACAAAGTTTTCCTGTTCTTCAGCCAAGTTAATAATAGAGCAGGGTTCAAACCAAGAGAGCTATGTTGTACTTTATGGTGATCACAATTCTTTCAGGGCAGCCAATAGAATACACACGGCTGGCTGGTGCACTGGCAGTGGGATGGCTGCAGAAAGCAGTGCTGGAGGAGGAAAGCCCCTCTTGCATTGCCCTCTGATACCCTTGTCTGGTTCAATCTGGGACCTCCACCTCCCGATGGCTATGATTAACCAGGACAGGCTTTCATCAGCATTTAGGATGAATGTGTGGAGCTCAGGAGCAGAATTGGCTAAGTTGTCATAAGAGGGGAATATGAAATGTCCCTGGGAGACGTGTTATAGATGGATGGAGACTGTTTCTTCTCATCAACCATATAAAAGATGACAGAGATCAGTGTTAAGTTGTAAGGCTCCTGCTGCTGTGACGAAATGGAGGTTGGGCTTTAAGGAAATACATCCCTATGTGAGAAGAAGAGAAGGAAGGAAGCTCCTGGGTGCAACTCAGGCAGTTGCTCCACCAGGCAGCAAGAGAGTGCTGAGCTAACAGACTTTAGAAACATGTTTTCTTCCTTCAAAACTACCCAGTCAAGTGGTTTCCTATTAAAAGTCATCACAAAGACGTTGCCCTGAGGTTCACGTGGTGTCACCCAGTTGGCTCTGCAGTCCCCAGCTGTGCTGTGGCGATGCTCTGGTACATTCTGTAATTGCTAATCAGCTCTATGCATGCACAACCGCCCCAAGAATTGATGCTTAAATAAACACTGGGAATTATGAACTAATGAAATGGGCTTTCATTTCTATTCTGGGGCCATTTGTTCTTTTGTTCCTCTGAAGTATGCTGGGTTTGCATGCTGAAGTTGCAAGTCCCAGCTCTACATCTGCTGAAATCTTTCCCATGATGTTGGCAGTGGCATCTTGCAGAAAAACACATCAGCTCCTATTGAACCACCACCACTGCACCAGTTCACAGCTATGAGGCTCTGGGGTTGTGCTGGCCACTATTCTTTATGAAGACCACGCTTTCTGAGGCCTCGGGCAGGATGAGGGCTTCAGGTGGCAGAAGATGCAGTGGGATGAAAACAATGCTTATTGAAAGCTCTCCAGGGACTTGCCCTGCTGGTGTGTCTTTATGTCAGCTTTGGAGCTCTCCTGGCAGCTCTGGGTGCCATCACACAATCTGGATCCCATCAACAAGAAAAACCACTCCCAAAATTTCCTTTGCTGGATTCCTTGGACTATGCAGACTGCCCCTTTCCAGGCAAGTTCCCTGACCCTAAACACCCTCCTTCCCTGCTCCCCTCTTTTGTGTCTATCTGGGGGCCATGTCTCTGTCCTACCCTGGTGTAGGATGCTTCCCATACTGATGCTCAGGGAGCTCAGCCCTGCACCTTTTGGCTTGCTGCAGAATTGCCATCACTGTCCCAGCTGCTGTTGCTTGATGTGTCCCAGGCTCCTTGCCCTGCTCCATCCATGCAGAGGGGGTGCAGGACAGCCTTCCTACCCCCTCCTGTGTTTGCATGGCTGCTAAGCCCCTTTCTTCATAACCAGCTCACTCCCCTGCTTATGGGGCACACCAGCCCTTCCTGCCCTCCAGCACGGCCCAGAAATAGCACTGAGCTCCTGCTGTGCATGGCTGCAACAGCAACAGGTGCTGTGCTGGGCCGTGTGGGTGCTGCGTCCCACGGCCTTGGGCTGTTAGCACAAAGCTGGCGTGTGATGTGTGTGCCCAGCTTGTCCAAGTTTAGAAGAGTGGCCCAGGTTTGCCCTCTTCTTCACTGCAAACTCGCAGCTGTGCCTCCAACATTGCCCAGGAAAAATAATCCACATAGGGATTAAAGCACCAGGGAGCACACAATGAAATCCATCAAGGATCAATGTAATCTGTGCCTGCAGAGAGCCTACAGCTGAAAGCAAGCTTTGGGAAACCACTCCAGGTCTGCGTGGAACCAACACAGAGAAGTGCTCATCCACAGCCGCAGGACGGAGAGCTGGAGGTTCATTTAGCTACAGATCACCACAAATTTGGGGATGAAAGAGTCCAATTCCATCAAAACCATCTCTTTTTCTCAAAAATTACATTTGTGGTTACACTTCTTCCAAGGATCTCTGCAACACAGCAGCCTTCACTTTGTTGACACATTCACCTCCCTTCGTTTTTGATGATAAAGGAAAACTGAAATATTTAATTTCCTCTTTGCTTTGTCTCTGGATGCACTCATCCAGGCGGTGCTGAGGCTGCTCTCTTTCTTCCCCTCACCTTTCCTTGTTCTTTTAAAACCTGCCCCAAAGGAAAGAGTGTAGAAGGAAGCGGGATGATGCAGGTTGGGTGCACCCTGCTTGGCGTCCTGATGGAGCTGTGGTTTGTTTCTTTAGAGAAAAAAATGTTTGAAATGATCTTTCAAATATGCAAATATTCACTTTAAGGAAAAAAAACAACTTTCCCATAATGTCTCCAGCCCTCCCAGTGGATAGAGTGGGCAATGAATGAGGGTTTACCCACAAACAAAACCCATTGGCATTCCCTCGCAGTCAGGCTTGGCAGCAAAATAGTTAATGGTAAATAATCGCATTAGACACTTTTCTACTCCAGTTTTAAGTCACAGCAGTCTTTAGAGAAGCAGCTTTGATAAATCAGCCCTGGTGGCTGTAATGCCCAGAAACATTTAGTGGTTATTTTTTGTGTTTTAATTACCATCATTTCCATTTCAGTACCACCCCATCTTCCTGCTTTTTGTTCCCTGCTGTCAGATCACAGCCCAGTCTGTGCAGATCCACATTTTCATTATGAATTTCACTGACAGACACACAAAAAGGAAAGCAGACAAATAGCCCAGCCCCATCCCTCCCCCAAAACCAGTCCTGGCACACCAGGACCGTGCAGCTGAGGGGTGAGCCTTCATCAGATCCTATGGAGACCAAAACGGAGTGGGCTGTGATTTCTAAGTTCTCCCATAACAATTCAAGTGAAGGTGAACTGCGCACACGAAGTTACTGAATGCAAAGCTTTTATCAACAGGTTTACATTTGCAAGCTTCAAGGCTCTCATCTGCTGCAAGAAGTGATGGTGTCAAAGCCTTGAAAGAGCAAACTGGAAGGGAGCAAGGAGCAACCCACAGCCTGGAGTGGGCAGAAAGGCATCGTTCAATTCCTGGAAGGATTAAGGCAGCTCCTAAAGCAGCCCCATTCAGGCTGCAGCGTCTGCAAGCGCTGACATCGCAGCTTAACAAGGCTCTTTACCAGCAGTTTGAGAAAACAATTGTGCATGCTGCTCTTGAGAGGCTTAAGCTGCCATAATTCATGTTCATACCTCTAACCATGAAAGGATGAAGAGAAGGTTTATTGCAGCGATGTGCCGCAATAATCTCTCTGTGGCTCTTTTCTCAGGATTGCTTTAAAGCTTTAGGAACTTTGGAGAGTTATTTGGACACATCATGAGATGTCTGGAGGCAGTGGAGTTGTGTTCTGTGGAAAACAAGGCTCGCAATTTATTCAGTCCCAATCCTGCCAGAGTGACCCCAGAGCTCAGTAAATTATGATGCAAAGCCTGGAAAATGGGGAGAACGCACCCTGTCTGCTTTCTGGATCTGTGTGGACCTGCAGTGCAGATACTGCCTAAAGCTCCACACTCACTGCTAGACACAGAGCACAGCCACAGCCTCCAGCATCTTTATTCATTCAGGCCCTCCAATGTTTTAAATTGGGATGATTAATTGTCTAATCATGAATTCTGTTGGAAATGTGTTATTTTGATTCTTTCCACACACAGAGACCAAAAGCTTCTCCTGGCAATTGCTTCCTAAAAGCTGCAATGTTGTCACTGCCACCCTGCCCTGCATCACCAGGAGAGAACAGCCAGCAATGGAGAGGAGGAATTAAGGAGCCTGCTGCTGTATCACTGATCTGATGGCTGTGCGCAGCACAGGCCCTTGGGACCACACACTGCCAAGTGAATGGGAGGCTCCAGATTCCTTTATTATCATCCTGTGAAACCCCCGGGAGCCTCAGCATCCCCTTTCATCTGCCTTGTTCTCTCCTTCTAGGTTTCCTTGACCTGTTCTGCTCTGTGCCATAGCAGCTGCAGAACTGGTACAGACGGTCACTCTGCTCCCCTCTAGCCGTGTGCCACAGCCCCATCCCCAGGAGATATTGCAACCTGCCTCGCATCAGCAAACTCCCCCTAGAGCCCCAGCTGCAGTGCACTTCATGCTGTGATTTTCCTCCCCATGACCTGTCCATTGCATCGCAAATTTCAGCCCCCCCAGCCCAGCACGGTCCCTTCCTCCAGCACAGCTCGATGAATAGTGCAATAAAAGAGAGTGGGAAGAGGACAGCTTTTCATTCTTTATTGGTAGGAACAATTTGTTCAGTGAGAACAGAGCTCTCACCATCACAATAGTGCTCCAGCCGAGTGCGGTACACGCGCTCGCCCAGCACTGAGGGTTCTGCAGAGATGAAGAGGCTGCTGTGTGCTCTCTCCAGCATTTACTGCCCGTGGGATGGGAGCTGCTCACAGCTGACACTGGTATGGACAAATCACAGCCTTTGCCCTTCTCCTGCACCACAAGTGCTGTGCAAGGAGGTGCAGGACAGCTCCATACTGCTATGGGTCCTGGCTGCTCTGCTTGTGGGTGCAGGTCTCTGACAACTCCCTCTCCACCAATTAATGACCTGTGGGCTCATGCCATGCTGAGCCGCAGGAAGGACAGAGCAGCAGCAGCAGCCTGGGAGCTCCTTGGAGGAGGCAGGAGGAGCACTGCTCAGGGGGCAGAGCTCAGCCAGTGAGCAGCGGGTGTTTGCAGAGCATCACTGGGAATAATGGAATGAAGATTTCAGGAGGAAGTGCAGGTGCAATGCTAATAGCAGCTCTTGACTTGGACTACAGAGCAGTCTCCCAAATGAAAGCACAATAACCCTGGTGTTAGGACGTTTAAAAATAGGCTGTAATGTAATTCATGGAACAAGCCTGAAGGTCCATAGGCAGATGGATTTGTAATTTGTCTCTTCCATCTCCAACAACTCTTCAAGGAAGCACTCAGCAATCAGCAAGTCACTGCTTTGGGCCACGCTGGTGGATTATCAGAGCAAGTGTATCCATTTCTCTTATTGCAAACTGCACATGAGAGAGAGGCTTTGTGAGAAAAAGACCTACTGAGATCCCACACGTGTCTCTAACCTGAATGCTAATCCCAAAGGCAGTGCTTTCAGTACATAATATGTGACTGGAGTTAGGAATCTTCTGAGGAAACAGGTTTGGGTTGGGAGATGTTTCCGTGCAGCAGCCGCACAGTTTGGGACAAAGCCTTGGTGAGGATGGGGCAGGGAAAGGAGGGCACGGGGCAGGGTGCAGGGCCAGGAGCAGTGGGAGCAGCAGGGCAGAGCCCAACACTCAGGGACACAGCTGCTCCACCAGCACGGAACAGATGGGGAGATTGCAACGTTGCAGCTGGGAAGGCAGGATCTGGGCATGGAGGAAGAGTGAGGAGAGATGTGCGCTGCACAGCTTCAGCTGCATGCAGGAAATCTGACTGGAAGAGCTCCGCAGAGATCCCATACAGCTGTCCTGCTGTCTTTCACAACAGAGTCCATCCTGCCTGTTCTTAATTCTCCAAAGACCAAAAGTTGTGCTCACCCCAGGCGATACATTCCTGTTTTACTGGCAGCTTTCCTCCTGCCCCACAGATATATGCTCCCATAGCCCATGTGCATGCCTGGGTCTGCCCTGACCAAGGCATTTCCCACTGCCATGCCTCACCCACACAAAACCCAATTGTTCCTGCGTGTGCAAGACCCACTGCGTGCCCTTGGTGAGCCCGCACCCCTGGGCAGGCTGCTTTGTGCAGTTCCACAGCCAGTCCCAAGGGGAGGGCAAGTGTCCATCTGTCCGTCTGTCCGCTCCCATCTCGCAGGGGCACAGCACATGCTGCCTCTCTGTGTCCTCGCCTGTTAGCAGCACTGCATCAAGCAGTAAGGGCATCAATAAATAAATAAATACAACTTCAGAAGGGGAAGGGCTCTGCAGGTGGAAGCCTGGCACAGCAGCTCAGGGATGTGGCTCCTGCCTTGGGTCGGTGCTGGCATGCTGTGCCTGGGCCTGCAAGAGATGCTCAGTGACCAGAGAGCTGCAGCCTGCCAGCTGGGCGCACCAGTCTGTGCCTGGGATGCCATCTGCAATGAAGTTGCAAGTTTCCCTATGATTTTGAACCATTTTTTCCTACGATTCCCTGCCTGAGCCTATGTTGCTCCCTGTGTCTCTGTTCCTTTTTCTGCTGAGTTCTTAAAATTCCACAATCAGGATCTAAATGTGCAGCACACTCATTTCAACAGCTACAGCACAGAGCCAGATGCTCTATGTGATTTTGGCTCTCGGGTGTTAAAACTTGGCTCCCAAAAGTGGCTGGTCATGCTAGCATGTGACTGCTTGCAAAGACTGCCAGGCTCAAGCCTTTCTCCTGTCCGAAGTCCAGGCTTTGCAGTTCCAGATCTGTTGGGATAAGGAGTGAATGAAAGCCAGGTTATGTTTGCACTGTTCGGTGTCAGCCCCATCTGACAGCAGAATGCTGCACTGAACAGGGTTTGCCCTGTGCAAACCTCCTGCTTGTTGTGTGGGGCTGTCCCATATCCAGTACGTGTAGGGCTAAAGAGAAAAAGAGGTAGACAGAGCAGGTACCAGAAGCAGAAATTAGCACAGTATAAACCAAAACAATCTCCTGTGCTCCTCCTCCCTGTCTTGGTCAGGTTCCTGTTTCACCTGCAGCCCCAGGGAGCACGAGACAGGACCTTGCTGGGGCTCCTTTAGTGCAGCCACTGCATGCAGCCATGTGGTCCTGCTACCCTGTGTTCTGCAAGCTCTTGCCAAGGATGCTGTGCCAGGAAAACCCCACAGTACTTCTGTGGTCATTTGGCCATTCACCTTCTTCAGCTCACAGGGCTCTTCTAGCATCTTCCCAGAGCTGGTTTCCTATGCAGTGGCTCCTGCAGAGTGCCTCTCAGTGCTAATCTCCTGTCTGTGCTCTCCAGTGCTTGATGTGCTGGCAGAGCCCTTCCTGGTCCTCTGAATCCCTTCATCAGCTTCTCCTTCAGGTGATGCACGATGAGCTATGGGCTGAGATGAAGATGTTTGCCAAGGCAATCACTTCCCAAGCAACCCTGGGCTCAGAGAAGCAGGGCTGTGCTTCTACTCCATCTCTTCAGAGCCCTCGTGAGCTCAGGGTAGGGAGGAAGGGAGGTCAGCCTTCAGCTCTCCACCATTCCTGGACACCCAGGGATCTCTGTGCAAGAGAGAAAGAAAAAATGCATCAGGTTTATGCAGATTTTCCTACTAAAAAGCAAAAGAGTGCTTTTTTGCATGAAATAATTAGAATAAACAGATGCATCTCTACATGCACACTTAGACCTGTTGGCCAGAAGATGAGAATGTATTTCCTTCTGGTTTTATATCTACAAAAAGGAAGGAACAGACCCTTTTCTTGATGGCAGAGATACCTGAATGACTGACGTGTTAGATGGAAAAATGGGAAATTAATCTTGAGATAGAGAAAGGAACAAGTACTAGATATGCCTGTGCTTTTGTTTATTGGAAAGTGATATTTTAATGTGATATTTTAACAAGTACACATTGAAGACTGTGGTCTGTGCAGATGTAGGAAGAAAAACAGCAGTGACAAACAGAATGGATCTGGAGGAAGGAAAATAAAACATTTCTGTTCTCTGGGAACACAACGCCTCTCAGAAGAACTCTGGGTGTCCAAACTGAAGCTGCGCTCCTTGTGCAAATGGGAGCTGAAGTTTCAGTGTGAGAGGGTTGCTTTGCAGTAGTATCAGTTGCCAGCATCTGTGAAAAAATATTCATGCTCCATCTGCCCTGCCACGTTGTTTAAGAGATGCACAACCAGACATGTTAGGGTGTAGTTCTTAAGAGGGCACAGTTATGCCCTGAGCAGAAAATCAAGCTCTGGAGAATTTCTTAATGGCAATTTGTTGCTTTGCACCAGAGAAGGAACAAAAATCTTTCACTTTTTATGTTTCCTACTTCTAAAAAAGCTGTGTAAGCTGCAATGACTTCTGCTGGTACAGTTAGTGCAGTGAAGTGTGAGCTGAGGCTGGCAATCATTAAACATCCAGGTGAGAAGAAACCAATTTGCTAAATCAACTGCAATTAGATGGTTTGTATAATTGCTACCACTGAGCTTAGCATACAGGCTGCTGTGGACTATCAGAGACTAAGGGTGCCACAGTTGGGACCCAGAAATCGTCCAAATGTCTGTAGAAAATCCCTGAGATTTCCCATGTGGAATAACAGCAGTTCCACAACTCCAGTGGTTTCAGAGGAGGTTCAGGTTGATGTTAGAAAGATACTCTCAGGAAGTGGTCAGGCACTGGCACAGCTGCCAATGAGGTGGTGGGGTCACCTTCCTGGAGCTCAGGAGCTGCGGAGATGTGGCACTGAGGGACGTGGTCAGTGGGCACAGTGGGACGGGTTGGGATTGGACCTGATGATCTTAGAGGTCTTAATGATTCTCTGATTTCCACAGACAGCAGCCCCACAGTCGCTCAGTATGGGACCAAGGGCTGTCAGGGAGAGGAACTATACCTAAATATGAAGTCACAACGAGGAAATCAGAGATGACCTGCGATATGGTATGAGTTTTTCCAGAACAGAACTAGGGAAGCTTCTCTGCCCTTTTCAACAGCTTGAAGCCGAGGGACTCTTCTTCGACTATCCTATAGATGGAGCTTGTAAGCTTACAAGGAAACCTGAACCAAGCTGTCAGCTCCGAGGGCAAAGCCACTGATACAGAGTTCATCTGGAAAGGAAGAGGAAGTTCTCTGAACAAATTGCATATCTACATCCAGGAAAGACGCCCATGGAGCACAGCGAGGCTCTCTGCATTCCACAGCCACCGTGATATAAGTGCCTCCTTTCCCCATGGGAAGGGCTCTGTGCCTTGCAGCAGGGATAACTGCCCTCCTCCTCAGCCCAGCCCCAGATATCCTGACTGGATTCTTGCCCAGAATCCAAAAGAAATCAATCTTTCTTGATATCTAGATATTTCTAAAATTATTGTTGTAATTAGTGACTGTCTGGTATTCCAAATCCAAGCCAAGCTGATTAGTTTTGATAGGATGCAGAAGCTTGATGCCCTCTTTCTGCTTCCCCATTGAATGATCTTTGCTTTCAAGCTCAGGTTCCTACGGTAACAACCAGAGTTTTGTGTCAGGACTGGTAAACTCTGCAGCTTCCAGCCAATGGTCCCCTTGGCTCAGTTATCAAGAGCAAGGAGGGCAGGACAACCTGGGCCATGAGGGTTCCTACCCAAGCTCAACCCAAGCTGTAGGGAAGATACAGTTCATCTTCACCAACAAAATGCCAGTGCAATCAGCAGAGTTTGTCTTTATTGCTGTATACAGAACAAACTGTGGTTCAATTCCATAGTGCTGGGACATGCTGAGCCCCACTACTATTGCTCTGGGTCTGGTCTATATCAGCAGCAACATTCTGAAGCCAAGAGGGTCTAGCTTTCCTTTACACTGCAATTGCAGTGCTGACGTCAGTGGAGTGACTTCAGATTTATGCCAGTGTTGCTGAGAATGGAATTAAACCTCGCTGATTTACATCACTGTAAAACTGATACATAAGGGGAACTAGATTTGCAGACATGTCCCTGGCCAAGCACTGACAGAAGACAGGGCTAGCTACCCAAATAACTGCATACCCTGAAGAATCCTTATTTATGGACTCTGAATGTGTGCGCGTACATAGAAGGGAGGTTTGGAAGATGGCAATTAAAATAAACAGCAGGTCACTTCTCCTAAACATCTGCCTCGTAAAAGCAGAAAATCAGATGTTGCCCTGGAACTCTTGCTATTTGCTGCTCCGGGTAACGCAGAGGGAGCACAGCGCTCCCGACCTCTTCCAACATTTCCTCTGCCCTGAATTCCTCCAGGTTCACAAGTCAAAACATCACTTTCAAAACAGAAGTCGCCCGAAGAAGCCGTGCGGTCTCTGCTATTGACTGTTGGGAAGTTTGGATGTACTCACAGATCAGACATCAGGAGAGAGTGGACCACCTGCATCCCACGAAGCAATGGCTGCATGGAGGTGGGCACAGGCCAAGTGCATGCAACTTGCAAACAGCCAGCTGGACATCACCACTTCACATGCTGGAGGTGTTCAGGAAACAATTAGTTGTTGTACTGAGAGACCAGGTTTAGTGGGAAATACTAGTGATGCATGGTTGGATGCGATGATCTGAGAGGTCTCTGTACTTGACTGCACAAGGCGATGCCCCAGGTGATGCATGGTGATACCACTTGTCTTTGTTTCACTGCAGGGCTCTGATGCAGCATCTTCCCACCACAGAGTTCACTCACAACTCCCAGATACAAGTGGCAGCTTTGGGAATACCTGGCAGTGGCTCTGAACATTTCATAGTGAATCTGTCCGCTCAGGATTCATTATTACTCAGAAGTATTTGGTCACTATCATTCTCCCCTGCACTGGTCTGTGCTTGTTTTGTGCTCATTCCCCATGAGCTCTCCTTGGGCAGCAGGGATCCAGCAGCCAACACAACCAAGCATCAATACAACTTCCCAATCAGCCTCAGTCCTTAGCACTGATTTTACTTCACATCTCCACTTTTTGGTTGTTGTCAGTTTCTCTGAGTCCTCGTTGTCCTGTAAGCCTTGTTGGAGAACACAAATCTCCCACCACAGTGATGGCACCCAAATCTTCCAGGCTCTCTGGGGAGGTTACTGGCTCTTTGCCTGATGCCAATGGCAGTCTGTCACTAAAACCCAGACCTGGAGCTTCAGTTACTTTAGTAAGAAACTTTAGAAAATGCCCACATCAAACTTTACATTTGAAGGACTCCCTTTTTTTGGTCAATCATTAAAGTAACTCTGGAAAGCAGCCAGAATGTGGAACAGCTGAAAAGCAACAGGATTTTAAAGCTGTGTTATTTCTCTCTCGTTTGCTTGCTCCAGCTTTTCTGAGGAGCTCTGTTTGCCTCTTTTGTGATTTTTGGGGCAGTTGGAAGGAGATTATTTGCTTTGCAGTCACTGAGCAGATTGAAGGCAGTTCCCAACAGAGCAGCAATTCTCTTTGAAACTATTAAAGTGAACTCTAAAACCTTGCAGTCCCCCAGCAGGAACTCCTGACTGTCAGAGAGCTGGGAGCTGGTGCAATGTTTTCCTGGGGTGTTCATTTTTTGGCAAGTAGTGGTTTTCTTCCCTATAGTTTCCTATATATGTTTGTTCTATGTGCTGCAGCATGTGCGTCCAACTCCACACCACTGTCAGACTTCACTCAAATGTTGCAACCGTGACACAAACCATCATTAGGGCAAGAAGGAGGATTATACAAAGAGAAGACATTTTCAGAAGCATTAATGGGAGAGGTTGACTCTGAAACACAGTATTGCATGCACACATCAGGTGAGGCAAATGATTCTTCACTGCTGGAACCACTGCTACAAGGCTCAGTGCAACACCACCATGGGCAGGCACTCACCTACACTGACCTGGTAATGCTCAGCACCTCACTGCTGTGTAGGGCTGAATGTGTTCCCATTCTGACCAAGTGTAAATTTCGTGCATGTGGGATCTCAGTGTGCTCCTGAGGTGCAGAAAGGCGATTTCATAATGATGCAAGAAAAAAAAAAAGCCACAAAACACATCCTTTTGATATTCTGCAAGCCTGAAGTCATGATAGAGATAAGTGTGCTTTTATAACCAAGGCCTTGCGTGCCAGATAATGCAGGGAATGCTTTCGTCTTGGTTTGTGGCACACCGTAATTTCCTCTCTTTGGGGTGATGCCAACATATACTTGTCCTTAAGCTGGGCTTACACCCAGTTTCCTCTGAGGTTTAAACAAATATGGACTTAAATCAAACAACTTACAATGAACAGAAAGTCCTGCTCCCCATAGGAACCGAATACTCAAACAGCACTCTCACTCCTCCATCTGCTCTGCACTCAGCGCCTCATTGAAGAAACGTGCTGGGATGAGACCTCAGCTCCCCTCCCACCCCACGCCAAGGGCACAGCTCTGAGCAACCAGCTCTTCCTGACCCTGCTTTAGCAGGGGATTGGACTGCATGATCTCCAGAGGTCTCTGCCAGCCCCAACAATTCTGTGATGCTGTGAAATACACTGCTGTATGCCAGACTTGTGTAACAAAAAAAGACATACATGAAGAGACACCACTTTCTTGCCAGCCAGCTGTAAAGGATGCAGACTAAGTCCTAATTTCCCTTCCCTCTGGGTAGC